GTAAGACGTAGAGCTGAACCCGCTCCTCCCATGAACGTGCTTTGAACGTTGATGACAATGTAGCAGTCGACCTGCAACCGACATGAGCAGCCTTCAAACATGCCTTAAACAGTGCAGCTCATGAAATGATCAAACAGTCAAAGCGCAATTGATATCAATTGATAACAAACGGATACAAACGGTGGTTTGTGGGCAGTGTGACTTGGTGACCTGGCACGACTCTGGAAGTATGAGATGCCACGAATACCACGGTAGGACGCTAGGCGACACGAATCTGTCGTGCAGACTTTGTGACATTTCCTGCAGTTGATCTTCAAGGGTAGCGGTGTGGTGGGTGCGTTTCATGTCTTGGCTGAAAATCGTGTGAAGTTTGACAAATTTATCAAGGAGTTAACCTATGGTGTCTCCGCGAAAGGAAAATAGCTGGATGGTCGATATTCTGTTGAAAATATTGGGTGTCCCACAACCACTTCAGTGTCTAGAAGAGGTTTCTCCAGATTCAATCTTGCATGGAACAAAACCAATCAAACGCACGCAGCCGACTCATTTGCATGCCCAGTCTGTCACGGGACTCAAGAAATGCCATGGACTCAGGTTTCAATGCCGACAGGCTGTGAGGCAGGAGCATAGAAGATATGGCAGATATAGCAGACATCGAATCAAGTTCTTTGATACACGAGCCCTGACCACTCCCAGTGGGCCATTTGAATCCCCAAGGTTGCAGGGTCCAGTTTTCTTTCAAATGACCTTGGTGGCCTTTCCATGTGCTCCAGGCCTCCTAAGCTTTCATGAACCGTAGTGACATGGTCAAAATTTTGTAAGCATCCGGAAACCTTCCGTTCATGCTTGTACCCTTTATATTTCGTGCGCAGCATCCCAAATCCCTCATTTTTGTTGAATCTAATCTATCCTTGAATCAATGACTCAAACAAGTGGATTGCAGGGGGCTCATTTAAGCTCATTTAGTGGTTGGCCCAGAGTTGAACAAGCAACGTCCTTGGCATGTGGCGCAGATCGGAAAGGGTCTTTCGGTGTAAGATCAGGTTCAAGTTTGCCAAGTTCAGCCATTGGTCAACGGATTTTGTAGCAGGTAGGAACTGAGAGGAGATTTTCGACTTTCATGTTCGTACCTGAACGGAGCCGAACTATGCTTGGAAAGGGCCAAGTCAGGTACTTCGTTCTAGGATAAGTGAACACTCCCGGTGGGCCATTTAGGTTCGGCGCAATTTCCCACAGTCAAGAGGTCCAGCTTTCTTTCAAATGACCTTGGTGGCCTTTCCATGTGCTCCAGGCCTCCTAAGCTTTGATGAAGTGTAGAAATGATAATATGGTCAAAATTCGTCAGCATGTGCGAACCTTTCGTTCATGTTTTTCCCCTTCATGTCTTGTACTCAGGATCCAAAAGCATTCCCGAATCAAACCTCGTGCGCAGCATCCCAAATCCCTCATTTTTGTTGAATCGAATCTATCCTTGAATCAATGACTCAAACAAGTGGATTGCAGGGGGCTGATTTAAGCTCATTTAGTGGTTGACCCAGAGTTGAACAAGGAACGTCATGAGCAAATCTTCTCAATGTTCGAAAAGCCCTGCATGATCATGCCACAAGCAGCTGCGCAAGCGGAGCTGGGAGTTACTGTGGCCACCACTATACCCGGCCTTATTTACATACAGTTCTCAATCCTGGTCTCCTACAGTCAGACTGCTTGTCACCACTTTATGCATTGGGATTCCGAGCAGACGAGGAAGTCCATTGCTCAGAATCAAAGAATCAGATGCGGCAGTTTCCATCGCCTTTTGAACAAGATGCATTACATAAGATTTCCCAGCAGATCTAATCTGAAAGACTGCGGTGGTTTCAACATTTGTTTGCCACTCCCACGCATGGTGGGCTCTAAGCTACTGCACTTGGAGAAAGATAACTCCCAGACCCAGAGATTGAAACCCAAGAGTCACTGTTGGGAATAATCTTTACCATGCAAAGGTAGCAGTTTTCTTTAAACTTTAAACCAATCCCTCAAGTGCCTGAAGTCAATGAAAGGCCCGTTTGCCAAACTTGAGAGTGTGATCATTTGCATGCCCAGTCTGTCAGGGGACTCAAGAAATGCCATGGACTCAGGTTTCAATGCCGACAGGCTGTGAGGCAGGAGCATAGAAGATATGGCAGATATAGCAGACATCGAATCAAGTTCTTTGATACACGAGCCCTGACCACTCCCAGTGGGCCATTTGAATCCCCAAGGTTGCAGGGTCCAGTTTTCTTTCAAATGACCTTGGTGGCCTTTCCATGTGCTCCAGGCCTCCTAAGCTTTCATGAACCGTAGTGACATGGTCAAAATTTTGTAAGCATCCGGAAACCTTCCGTTCATGCTTGTACCGCTTGTACCCTTTATATTTCGTGCGCAGCATCCCAAATCCCTCATTTTTGTTGAATCTAATCTATCCTTGAATCAATGACTCAAACAAGTGGATTGCAGGGGGCTCATTTAAGCTCATTTAGTGGTTGGCCCAGAGTTGAACAAGCAACGTCCTTGGCATGTGGCGCAGATCGGAAAGGGTCTTTCGGTGTAAGATCAGTTTCAAGTTTGCCAAGTTCAGCCATTGGTCAACGGATTTTGTAGCAGGTAGGAACTGAGAGGAGATGTTCGACTTTGATGTTCGTACCTGAACGGAGCCAAACTATGCTTGCAAAGGGCCGAGTCAGGTCAAAACTTTGAGGGATGCTGCTGATGCTGATGTGCAAATCGTCCGTCATAAACTATAGGGCCAAAAAGAACACATCAAGTCGCTTGTTCCTTCCAAATTTCTTGATTTGGTCTTCGACCTTTTCGCAAATCTTAAATTGAGTAAGATCTATGGTGGTAACCTCATTCTAGGATCAATCCACACACTTGGTGGGCCGTTTAGGTTCGGCACCATTTCCAGCGGTCAGGGGTTCCAGCTTTCTTTCAAATGACTTTGGTGGCCTTTCCAGGCCTCCTAAGCTCTCATGAACCGTAGACCCTTTTGTCCAATCCTGCAGTGTCTAGAAGAGGTTTCTCCAGATTCTTCCAGCATTGGGGCACTGGATTTTGGTACCGCATGCTGAGCATGTGGGAGACCGTGGACCAGAAGCAGAAGGCATTTCCTTCATGGCTCCAGTAGATTCATTCTATCATCTTAGTAACTTGATTAGAGTATCTTGAATCCATGATTCAAACAAGTGGATTGTGTAGGGCTCATTTTGCTGTTTGGCCCAGAGTTGAACAAGGAACGTCATGAGCAACTCTTCTCAAACCTTAGAATGCCTAAAAATCACAATCTTTTCTGACGTTTTGGGAGACTTGACCACTCCCAGTGGGCCATTTGAATCCCCAAGGTTGCAGGGTCCAGTTTTCTTTCAAATGACCTTGGTGGCCTTTCCATGTGCTCCAGGCCTCCTAAGCTTTCATGAACCGTAGTGACATGGTCAAAATTTTGTAAGCATCCGGAAACCTTCCGTTCATGCTTGTACCCTTTATATTTCGTGCGCAGCATCCCAAATCCCTCATTTTTGTTGAATCTAATCTATCCTTGAATCAATGACTCAAACAAGTGGATTGCAGGGGGCTCATTTAAGCTCATTTAGTGGTTGGCCCAGAGTTGAACAAGCAACGTCCTTGGCATGTGGCGCAGATCGGAAAGGGTCTTTCGGTGTAAGATCAGTTTCAAGTTTGCCAAGTTCAGCCATTGGTCAACGGATTTTGTAGCAGGTAGGAACTGAGAGGAGATGTTCGACTTTGATGTTCGTACCTGAACGGAGCCAAACTATGCTTGCAAAGGGCCGAGTCAGGTCAAAACTTTGAGGGATGCTGCTGATGCTGATGTGCAAATCGTCCGTCATAAGCTATAGGGCCAAAAAGAACACATCAAGTCGCTTGTTCCTTCCAAATTTCTTGATTTGGTCTTCGACCTTTTCGCAAATCTTAAATTGAGTAAGATCTATGGTGGTAACCTCATTCTAGGATCAATCCACACACTTGGTGGGCCGTTTAGGTTCGGCACCATTTCCAGCGGTCAGGGGTTCCAGCTTTCTTTCAAATGACTTTGGTGGCCTTTCCAGGCCTCCTAAGCTCTTATGAACCGTAGACCCTTTTGTCCAATCCTGCAGTGTCTAGAAGAGGTTTCTCCAGATTCTTCCAGCATTGGGGCACTGGATTTTGGTACCGCATGCTGAGCATGTGGGAGACCGTGGACCAGAAGCAGAAGGCATTTCCTTCATGGCTCCAGTAGATTCATTCTATCATCTTAGTAACTTGATTAGAGTATCTTGAATCCATGATTCAAACAAGTGGATTGTGTAGGGCTCATTTTGCTGTTTGGCCCAGAGTTGAACAAGGAACGTCATGAGCAACTCTTCTCAAACCTTAGAATGCCCAAAAATCACAATCTTTTCTGACGTCTTGACCACCCTCAGTGGGCCATTTGAATCCCCAAGGTCGCAGGGTCCAGTTTTCTTTCAACTGAAGAAAACACCTTTCCATCATGATCTCGCAGCATCCCAAATTCGACCTTTTCTTGTGGAATCTATCCTCTTGCGAATGAGTCAAACACGTGGATTGCGTGGAGTTCATTTAAGTTCATTCGCTGGCCTCGAGTTGATTAAGCAACGTCGTAGGCAAGTGACACAGATGCCTCGCTGTTGAACGTCACGTTTGCGTTTTTGAAAAGAGCCAGATGCTCAAAGTAGCCACGACCTAATGGCTTGGAACCACCTTTCAGTGTGTAAGTACTTTTGTGGCCATGGCAAGAGTGACACAGATGCCTCGCTGTTGAACGTCACGTTTGCGTTTTTGAAAAGAGCCAGATGCTCAAAGTAGCCACGACCTAATGGCTTGGAACCACCTTTCAGTGTGTAAGTACTTTTGTGGCCATGGCAAGTCCAAATCTCCTTTGGCAACCTACCGGTTGTAACGCAGAAGTCGGCAGTGCTGGAAGGTTTTGGGTGTTTTAAATTGTCGTGACTTGGGGTTCATGAAGCCAGGAAATTTGCTGAAACATCAGGGCGCAGCAGTGGACCACCATCCACTGCTACAAACTTTGCTCTCGGAGCTCCTGTTCAGCGCAGGAATGAACTGGTTTCTCAGGGTTGTTTTGTGGAAGTGCATGAGATTGGAAACAACGCGATGCACAGTTAACAGGCAACCTGAAGTGTGTCCAAAGCTTGACAATGGCCGTGCAAAAATTGTCAATTCTTCCATTTTTCTGCGTATGAGTGCCATTACTTCATCCTGTATCGATGGATTTGAATTGCTATGGCTGCCATGAAACTGCCATCACTTCTTTCAGTTTCTTTCAAGCCCGTCGGCTTTTCGCTGCCAACGAAGCATCAGTCTCTTGCATCGGATGCTCCCATCGCCGAAGCGAATTGAAGCTCGTCAAGGTGGAGTCTGCTACTGTGCCCGCCGTTCCCAAAGACTCTTGTGTCGCCTGCTGGTGGCGAAGCAGGGGTTGAAAGCCCGGAACCACGGCACCACAGCACGTCACCTGAAGTAGCACCGAAAAAGACGAGCCACGGTCTGCAGTCCCTGGTGATTTGCTCCCCAGCAAATCAAGGGCTGTGGGACATGAAGATGTGCTGATGGCGATGCCCACTTTGAGCAAATGCAAGTGGAAACAATGAAGCGCAACACATTTGGGAACCAAAAAAGAGTGATTGTTGTGGCGCAGAGAGGGTAAGCTAAAGCCTGTCAAAGCATATTGGGAAAAGGTCGAAACTGAACATCCATCTTCCACCTATTTGGGGAACTGATCCTAGATTGATTATATAATTGATTATTCTTCGGCGCATCTTCGGGAAGTGCTTGGGCATGGGCATTTTCACATGCCCAGATGACCTCACATGATGCTTTCAACATGTAAAAATTGATGCAGGTTCCATGTTTCCAAACTGTGAACATGGATGAAACCGACCAGTTCATTTCTGTCCCTTTTGGTCTCGAATTTAATCCATACCGTCCATACCGTACCCGTCTCTTTGAACGCATCGGTTTGCTTCATTGAATCTGACAGGTGAGCCTCACATGCCCGTCTGAGGACCTCGAAGGGCGCAGCACATACTACAAACTGTTTCATCATTTCATATATTTTCAAGTACTCAGCCATCCAAGACATAGCGACATGGATTCTAAACCACTACTTGGCGAATGTTGATTTAACCTTTCCGGGGGGCCGAAACCTCTTCCTATCCGGATATCTTCACCGGGGAGCATCGGAAATCTTTACCATGGCAGCTGTGGGCGTGGAGGCATGGCTGGGCTACCGGTACCATCAGGTAACCTGGGTGGTTTCTGCTGAATAAGAGCTGCAAATTGGAGATCATCCTGCTTTACCATAAACATCATAAATCATAAACCAATAATCATGTTCGATCCACAATAATCAATCATTCCATAAACTTCTTAAACCACCAATCCGGAAGCTTGAAGAGTCAAACGACAAGAGTGATTTAGCAAAGCAATTCCGGAGTTTATGATGGGGTCAGTGGGACCTTGAGGGGTCGTGTTCTTGTGGAGCTGAGGTATTGGCAAAGCTCCCGACAACACCGGAGTTCTCGGCAGGATTTCAAGACGTAAAAAGGACTTTCCGCTGTGGGCATGAACCATGTTTGGTTGATGTGTCTCAAATCCGGAGTGTGTGAAGCTTATGATAGCTTATGAATCCATATCAATCCCAAAATATCAAAGGTGATTAAGGTTACGTTCAAACATCAAGTTGGTCAAATTTGATGTTTTCTTTGTTTGCCAGCGACACACACACACACACACACGCAGAATTTGTGACCTCCTTTGGCCCACATGTTTCCTGACAAGACAGACACAAGGTGGTGCCCCAGTTCGTTAGCTAAGTTGGTGAACATAACTCCAATAACTATGGTTTATGGTTGATATATTATTGATATATCTATACTTACTATGGTTATTTATAACATGTTAGGTATCTTCGTGGTCCGAGGTCTGAAGTTGCATTCCTGGCACACGTTTTATCGTACCGAACATGTTCTCGATGCCTTGGCATACCGACAGGGGACATCTGTGGACATCATATTCACTGATGGCATAATGAGGCTGGACCCCAGATGCCAGTCATACCAAGTATCTAACATGGACTTTAGGCACCATGTGTTGACTGTTTCATCATGTCAAGTTCGAAACAAAACCATGCTAGGCAATGCCGGGGCACTTCTTTTGCGCGTGCTTTCCCGGCTTTCCCTGATGAAAACTTTCCAAGGATGTCTTCTTGGAGTTTGAGTGCTTTGAGATCTGCCGCCATCATTAAAGGCGCTCACTGCGTGTTTCGGCTCACAGAGTGCTTTCAAACCTGTTATCAAAGCGCCGAAGTGTGATGATTGCCTAAAGTAGCCTCAATGCAGAGCATGCCAATGAGCTGCTCGGTTGGTAGCAGAAGAAGATCCTAGGCTCAGATGTGTTTCTCTGACTCAAATCATTGTCAGTCGCCTGCAAATCGGCAATGAGTCTAGATGCTCAGAAATCTGCTTCGGCAGAATAATCCAGACATGCTCCCAGGCTTCGGACGATGGCAGACGTAAGACGTAGAGCTGAACCCGCTCCTCCCATGAACGTGCTTTGAACGTTGATGACAATGTAGCAGTCGACCTGCAACCGACATGAGCAGCCTTCAAACATGCCTTAAACAAATTTATCAAGGAGTTAACCTATGGTGTCTCCGCGAAAGGAAAATCGCTGGGCGCGAAAGCTCGCGAAAATCGCATCCAATTTATCCTTGAATCAATGACTCAAACAAGTGGATTGCAGGGGGCTCATTTAAGCTCATTTAGTGGTTGGCCCAGAGTTGAACAAGCAACGTCCTTGGCATGTGGCGCAGATCGGAAAGGGTCTTTCGGTGTAAGATCAGGTTCAAGTTTGCAAAGTTCAGCCATTGGTCAACGGATTTCTTCGACCTTTTTGCAAATCTTAAATTGAGTAAGATCTATGGTGGTAACCTCATTCTAGGATCAATCAACACACTTGGTGGGCCGTTTAGGTTCGGCATCATTTCCAGCGGTCAGGGGTTCCAGCTTTCTTTCAAATGACTTTGGTGGCCTTTCCAGGCTTCCTAAGCTCTCATGAACCATAGACCCTTTTGCTCAATCCTGCAGTGTCTAGAAGAGGTTTCTCCAGATTCTTCCAGCATTGGGGCACTGGATTTTGGTACCGCATGCTGAGCATGTGGGAGACCGTGGACCAGAAGCAGAGGGCATTTCCTTCATTTACTGTTCGGCCCAGAGTTGAACAAGGAACGTCATGGGCAAGTGACATAGATGGAAAAGGGCATTGCCGTGGAAGGATCAGGGTCAACGGATTTTGTACCAGGTAGGAACTGAACGGAGATGTTCGACTTTCATGTCCGTACCTGAACGGAGCCAAACTATGCTTGGAAAGGGCCAAGTCAGGTACTTCGTTCTAGGATAAGTGAACACTCTCGGTGGGCCATTTAGGTTCGGCGCAATTTCCCACGGTCTAGAGGTCCAGCTTTCTTCAAATGACTTGGTGGCCTTTCCATGCGCTCCAGGCCCCCTAAGCTCTTATGAACCGTAGGAACGTCAAACATTGCAAGCATTCGCGAACCTTCCGTTCATGAAGGATTCCCTTCATGTCTTGTGCTCACATTCCAAATACCCCGAATCATGTCTTGTGCGCAGCATCCCAAACTCCCAATTTTTGTTGAATGCACTATTGAATCAATGACTCAAACAAGTGGATTGTGTAGGGCTCATTCAAGTTCATTTACTGTTCGGCCCAGAGTTGAACAAGGAACGTCATGGGCAAGTGACACAGATGGGAAAGGGCATTGCCGTGGAAGATCAGGGTCAACGGATTTTGTACCAGGTAGGAACTGAACGGAGGTTTTCGACTTTCATGTTCGTACCTGAACGGAGCCAAACTATGCTTGGCAAGGGCCAAGTCAGGTACGTCGTTCTAGGATAAGTGAACACTCCCGGTGGGCCATTTAGGTTCGGCGCAATTTCCCATGGTCAAGAGGTCTAGGTGGGCCATTTAGGTTCGGATTAGGGCTCATTCAAGTTCATTTACTGTTCGGCCCAGAGTTGAACAAGGAACGTCATGGGCAAGTGACACAGATGGGAAAGGGCATTGCCGTGGAAGATCAGGGTCAACGGATTTTGTACCAGGTAGGAACTGAACGGAGGTTTTCGACTTTCATGTTCGTACCTGAACGGAGCCAAACTATGCTTGGCAAGGGCCAAGTCAGGTACGTCGTTCTAGGATAAGTGAACACTCCCGGTGGGCCATTTAGGTTCGGCGCAATTTCCCATGGTCAAGAGGTCTAGCTTTCTTTCAAATGACCTTGGTGGCCTTTCCATGTGCTCCAGGCCCCCTAAGCTCTTATGAACCGTAGGAACATATAGTCAAACATTGCAAGCATTCGCGAACCTTCCGTTCATGAAGGATTCCCTTCATGTCTTGTGCTAGCATCCCAAATATTCCCGAATCATATCTTGTGCGCAGCATCCCAAACTCCCTATTTTTGTTGAATGCATTATTGAATCAATGACTCAAACAAGTGGATTGTGTAGGGCTCATTCAAGTTCATTTCCTGTTCGGCCCAGAGTTGAACAAGGAACGTCATGGGCAAGTGACACAGATGGGAAAGGGCATTGCCGTGGAAGATCAGGGTCAACGGATTTTGTACCAGGTAGGAACTGAACGGAGATTTTCGACTTTCATGTTCGTATCTGAACGGAGCCAAACTATGCTTGGAAAGGGCCAAGTCAAGTACGTCGTTCTAGGATAAGTGAACACTCCCGGTGGGCCATTTAGGTTCGGCGCAATTTCCCATGGTCAAGAGGTCTAGCTTTCTTTCAAATGACCTTGGTGGCCTTTCCGATTTCCATGTGCTCCAGGCCCCCTAAGCTCTTATGAACCGTAGGAACATATAGTCAAACATTGCAAGCATTCGCGAACCTTCTGTTCATGAAGGATTCCCTTCATGTCTTGTGCTCAGCATTCCAAATACTCCCGAATCATGTCTTGTGCGCAGCATCCCAAACTCCCTATTTTTGCTGAACGCATTATTGAATCAATGACTCAAACAAGTGGATTGTGTAGGGCTCATTCAAGTTCATTTACTGTTCGGCCCAGAGTTGAACAAGGAACGTCATGGGCAAGAATCATGTCTTGTGCGCAGCATCCCAAACTCCCTATTTTTGCTGAACGCATTATTGAATCAATGACTCAAACAAGTGGATTGTGTAGGGCTCATTCAAGTTCATTTACTGTTCGGCCCAGAGTTGAACAAGGAACGTCATGGGCAAGTGACACAGATGGGAAAGGGCATTGCCGTGGAAGATCAGGGTCAACGGATTTTGTACCAGGTAGGAACTGAACGGAGATTTTCGACTTTCATGTTCGTACCTGAACGGAGCCAAACTATGCTTGGAAAGGGCCAAGTCAGGTACTTCGTTCTAGGATAAGTGAACACTCCCGGTGGCCATTTAGGTTCGGCGCAATTTCCCACAGTCAAGAGGTCCAGCTTTCTTTCAAATGACTTTGGTGGCCTTTCCAGGCCTCCTAAGCTCTCATGAACCGTAGACTCTTTTGTCCAATCCTGCAGTGTCTAGAAGAGGTTTCTCCAGATTCTTCCAGCATTGGGGCACTGGATTTTGGTACCGCATGCTGAGCATGTGGGAGACCGTGGACCAGAAGCAGAGGGTATTTCCTTCATGGCTCCAATAGATTCACTCTATCATCTTAGTAACTTGAGGATTGTGGTGGGCTCATTTTGCTGTTTGGCCCAGAGTTGAACAAGGAAAGTCATGAGCAACTCTTCTCAAACCTTGGAGTGCCCAAAAATCACCATCTTTTCTGAAGCTTTGGGAGACTTGACCACTCCCAGTGGGCCATATGAATCCCCAAGGTCGCAGGGTCCAGTTTTCTTTCAAATGACTTTGGTGGCCTTTCCATGTGCTCCAGGCCTCCTAAGCTTTCATGAACCGTAGCAACGTAGTAACATGGTCAAAATTTTGTAAGCATCCGGGAACCTTCCGTTCATGCTTTTACCCTTTCTGTCTTATGCGCAGCATCCCAAATCCCTCATTTTTGTTGAATCTAATCTATCATTGAATCAATGACTCAAACAAGTGTATTGCAGGGGGCCTCTTTAAGTCCATTTAGTGGTTGGCCCAGAGTTGAACAAGCAACGTCCTTGGCATGTGCGGCAGATCGGAAAGGGTCTTTCGGTGTAAGATCAGGTCCAAGTTTGCCAAATTCAGCCATTGGTCAACGGATTTTGTAGCAGGTAGGAACTGAACGGAGATGTTCGACTTTGATCGTCACGTTTGCGTCGCCGAAAAATTGGTCGAAAAGAGCCGCTGTAGCTAGACCTAATGGCTTCGATGGGATCCCAAAACTAACAGAACCACCTTTCAGTGGGTAACTTTTGTGGCCATGGCAAGTCCAAATCTCCTTTGGCAACCGGTCCGGCAACCGGTTGTAACGCAGAAGTCGGCAGTGCTGGAAGGTTTTGGGTGTTTTAAATTGTCGTGACTTGGGGTTCATGAAGCCAGGAAATTTGCTGAAACATCAGGCCGCAGCAGTGGATGGTGCACTGCTACAAACTTTGCTCTCGGAGAAATCTGATGGATAACCTGACATGTCACTGGCTCATGTGTGCCTGTGCCTTTCGAATGACTATTTCACCATATCCCGAGTATCGCTCCTGTTCACCACAGGAATGAACTGTTTTCTCAGGGTTGTTTTGTGGAAGTGCATGAGATTGGAAACAACCCGATGCACAGTTAACAGGCAACCTGAAGTGTGTCCAAAGCTTGACAATGGCCATGCAAAAATTGTCAACTCTTCCAGTTTTCTGCGTATGAGTGCCATTACTTTTATCGATGGATTTGAATTGCTATGGCCATGAAACATCCATCACTTCTTTCAGTTTCTTTCAAGCCCGTCGGCTTTTCGCTGCCAACGAAGCATCGGTCTCTTGCATCGGATGCTCCCATCGCCGAAGCGAATTGAAGCTCGTCAAGGTGGAGTCTGCTACTGTGCCCGCCGTTCCCAAAGACTCTTGTGTCGCCTGGTGGCGAAGCAGGGGTTGAAAGCCCGGAACCACGGCACCACAGCACGTCACCTGAAGTAGCACCGAAAAAGACGAGGAGCCACGGTCTGAAGTCCGTGGTGATTTGCTCCCCACCAAATCAAGGGCTGTGGGACCTGAAGATGTGCTGATGGCGATGCCCACTTTGAGCAAATGCAAGTGGAAACAATGAAGCGCAACACATTTGGGAACCAAAAAAGAGTGATTGTTGTGGCGCAGAGAGGGTAAGCTAAAGCCTGTCAAAGCATATCAAGGGGGAAAAGGTCGAAACTGAACATCCATCTTCCACCTATTTGGGGAACTGATTCTAGATTGATTATATAATTGATTATTCTTCGGCGCATCTTCGGGAAGTGCTTGGGCATGGGCATTTTCACATGCCCACATGACCTCACATGATGCTTTCAACATGTAAAAATTGATGCAGGTTCCATGTTTCCAAACTGTGAACATGGATGAAACCGACCAGTTCATTTCTGTCCCTTTTGGTCTCGAATTTAATCCATACCGTACTCGTCTCTTTGAACGCATCGGTTTGCTTCATTAAATCTGACAGGTGAGCTTCACATGCCCGTCTGAGGACCTCGAAGGGCGCAGCACATACCACAAACTGTTTCATCATTTCATATATTTCCAAGTACTCAGCCATCCAAGACATAGCGACATGGAATCTAAACCACTACTTGGCGAAGGTTGATTTAACCTTTCCGGGGGGCCGAAACCTGTTCCTATCCGGATATCTTCACCGGGGAGCATCACGTTGGAAACCTCTACCATGGCAGCTGTGGGCGTGGAGGCACTGGGGTACTGGTACCATCAGGTACCCTGGGTGGTTTCTGCCGAATAAGAGCTGCAAATTGGAGATCCTCCTGCTTTACCATAAACATCATAAATCATAAACCAATAATCATGTTCGATCCACAATAATCAATCATTCCATAAACTTATTAAACCACCAATCCGGAAGCTTGAAGAGCAATCAAACGACAAGAGTGATTTAGCAAAACAATTCCAGGATCATCCTGTTTTTGTCCGGTGGCCAACTTATCCCTTCATTCCAAGGTAAGGTAGAATATGGTAGAATCATGAGGATGTACAGTGCATATAGCGACCCCCAAAAAGATCAAACAGTAAAAATCCTAGTCAAATACATTCAAATAGACATAACTATACTTTTTTTATCTTTCCCAGACTTGGACGACGGGAAAGATTCGAGGAAACCGCCCAAACCGTGGAAAACATTGCAGGTGGAGTCCGCGCCCCGTCCGTGGTTCGCAGCCTTGAATCAGCGAGTGCCACTGGGACGTGGCGACATGTCTACGGAGATGTTTTCAACTTTTTATGGGGTTCTAATGGATTTTTTGAATGGGGATATAAAGCGGATGCCAATGGATTCTAGTGGAATTTAGTGGAGTTTATTTTTACGTGATACTAAAAACATCTAAAAACTATACTCCGTATGCTCCCCATAAATTGGCAGCTGTTAGTCATGTATAGATACCATTACTTTATGGCTCAAGAAAACAAGCGCGTTGCTTCGTGGCTGTTGTTGATCGGCTTAACCTGTTGAATAGGTTATCAGCCGTATCGCCACATATTCTCCTTTTGTAACTAATGTCCGCCCCCTCGGGTAAACCATCACCTGAGGGCTCCAACCCATCCGGACTGTCTGAAGCCATGGCCATTGAAGACGCGGACACGAACAAAACTGCAGGTGAAATCCTAATCGAAGATGACCTTCAAACTCCCTCTGAACGCTCCCGAAGTGACAAGCGTGAGGTCAATGCCCTAGTGCGTCGTGGCGCCAACCAGCCCCACGTTGACACTGCTCGGTTCTCACACCGCAGGTACGACTATCACGCATCCCGGGAGGGCATGCCAGTGAGCTCAAGCCACATGCATATGAACCGCACTGAAATCCACAATCAAGAGCCAAGTGAAGTGCACAATACAATGAACATCAGCCAAGTTCAGAACAATCAGATGCATGTGAATTCTCATGACCCTGCCATTACACTACTGGTTGAGCAGGATGCTGAAGCACGACATCGTGAGGCCTTAGCCAATACCGAGCACGTGGTTCAGACGATGGTATCTGAGATGAGCCGCCGGTTCAATGCCGAGGAAGAAGCCGCCAGCGCCCGGATGCATCAGATGATGAAGCTGGCTGAGAGTCGTGAGGGTCAATACAGGGAAGAGCTTGCACAACAAGGAGAAGTATGCAAAAGGGTTTTAGACGGGAATGCCAGACAATCCAATGCAACCAAGGATCAGCAAATCCAAGCCATTAGGGACCATTACGAAAGACAGGATGAGAGTCGTAGAATGCAGCTGTCCCAGTTGGAATCCATCATTTAACAGCAGAGTGAGCAGATAAAGGCCCAGCAATTGCAAACCGAATCTATGAACATGCGTATGGGTAAGCTCCTGAATACCTTAGGTCCACTACGATTTCCCGAGGTTCAGACTGCCACTGCCGTGTTGCCGCCTGCCACTGAGGTGAAGGTAACAGCTCCGTTGAGCTCCTTTGCATCAGCAAGTGCATCCAAACCCAAAGTGCGTAACACCGACTCATGGGAGATGATCAGACCAGACGGGTTTCCATCGCCTATTGATGGTGTTAACCCTAATTCTGAAGTTATGGGGATTCGCTCTCCTACTTATCCTCCCACCAGTGTTGTTGAATCGGTAAGGGGAAACGATGACGACCCTCCAGGCGATGATGGCCCTGATAATCATGGGACAAAAGGCAGGGGAAGACCTGAACGGGGACGAAAGGACAAAGGTGGTAAGAGGCCCGTTCAAGGGTGCCGACGACCACCGGGAGGTGGGCCTGGGGATGGAGATGACGATGATGGAGATGACAACGATGACTCTGATGACAGTGATCGCAAGTTTGTCCGTCGCATGAAAGCTATTTTTGGTACTTCCAAAGAACTATCAAATGACAAAAGCACGGTCAAGGAAGCAGACACGATCAAAATCCCAGCCTTTCCACAAGCCGAATCATACCGAAATGGAGGATTCGAACACGAGAGGCTGTCATGTCTGCTTCGACCGATCCCGACAAGGCATTTGATTGGATCAGCGAGACTTGGAAGGAAGGGCAAACCTTGGATCAACTTAGGGACGTCGGAAAATTCACCACCTTGGACGCCAAGCTGTTATCTGCACTCACCAACATCCTGACAGGTGATTTTGCACGGAAGGTAGGCACGTACAAAGAGACCGAAGCCACCAATCATAGATATGTGAGGGGACGACAGGTACTGTTGATGATGCATGAGCATTTCACCACAAATATCAAACACGGTGCCACATAAGCCCTCCAGGATCTATTCAGCGTGAAGCTCAAAGGTGACAACCTCCGTGGATTCATCAGTAATTGGGACCAAGTGATAGCTGGTATTCCCAAGATTCCAGAGGTTAGCGTACTGGAAACCCTGTTCTTTAACCAGGTAAAAACAGCAAAGCAATTGCGCATGACCTGCAGGAGTATCATCGTGCCGAAGAAGGCACGGACAAGAAGTCCTATGAGTTCCTTGTGACGGCAGTACGCCGCTACTTGGACAGGGAACGCCTCGAGTCCAATCGTGAACGAGTTGCCAGGACCCTCGGTGCCTCCTCATCGAGCGCTGCACCCGCAGTTGGCGAGAAGAGGGGGTACATTCCAAAGGGGTACTGCGTCAAATGGAACAAAGGGACTTGTACAAATGACTCCTGCACATTCAAGCATGAGAAACCTCCTCCCAAGAAAGATCGAAGTCAATCACGACCACAATCCGACAGAGGCAGATCACCATCTAGGGACAAAAATTAAAGGACCGGATAACGCCACAAGTCAACTTCTTCCAATAATGAGCATCAAAGGTTGTAGCAGGGACGGGGAAGGAAGGAAAGGGAAAGGAGGCGGTGAAGGATCGAGAAGTTAAAACAGTTGTGTGTGACAAAGTGGAATGTGAAAGATGGTGTGTGACGAAGAAAGATGGTGTGTGTGTGTGACGAAGCAGTGTGTGAAAGATGGTGTGAGCGAAAGTTGTGTGTGAAAGAGAGCGTGTGACAAAGTTGTGTGTGAAAGATGGTGTGTGACAAAGTGGTGTGTGAAAGATGGTGTGGCGAAAGATGGTGTGTGACAAAGTTGTGTGTGAAGGATTGTGTGGTGAAAGATGGTGTGTGACAAAGTGGTGTGTGAAGGATGGTGTGGTGAAAGATGGTGTGTGTGAAA